GTGGGTGAAATTTAACTGCCAACAGCCATGTTTAGCAACTGAGCATGTAATCATTGAATATCCAGGGCTTGTAACAGGGTTATTGTTCTGTACCATCAAGTTGAAACCGACTCACACCTGACCTTCCAGTGGATTTTCAAAGGTTGTAATCTTGCAGCAGGAGCTTGTCCATATTTCTCCCATGGAGCAGCTGGGAGATTTGAACCACGTGCCTTTGTGTTGGCAGCACAACTCCTTACCCACTAACCCACCAGAGCTCCCTATTACAGTAGGCACTGTCATTTATTAAGCCATTATCTTATACTGAGGAATTTCCTTATATGATCTTACTTAATAGCATTACAAATTTATGAGGGAGGTATTTTTGCTACTACTTTACAGAGGAGCAAACAGGTTCACAGAGGCCACATGACTTGTCTGCTGTAACCCAGCTGCTAAGATTGGTCTGACTCCAACCAGTGTGCTGTACTCCCTTCCCTTAGACCTTATTTTTGTTTTGTCCCTAAATAGCGACATTATCCTAGAAGAGTGTTTCTCACGTGGTAAATCATGGCACATTAATTAATTATAAAATTGTGTTGTAGTGGATTGTTGTTCCCTTCTTAATATTCCTACTACTGCAACCCACACCATCCTTATCTGGAAGCTACTCACCCCCTCTGCCTCTCAAGGGTACCAGACCAATCCAGCATTTGTTTTCTTAAAACAGGAGGCAAGAGGCCCCTCTCTGTGGGTGTCCTCATTTTTACACGTTCTTCTCTTCATTGATTGCAATTCATGAATGAACTAGAGGGCACGTAAATGGCAGAGCTGCTGGCAGCTGCCCTGAAGGCATACTCCTAGGGAGAGGCCTCTGACCAAACTAAATGTTGAGGGGCAGCAAGGATCAGCGCCCAGGTTAACATCTATATGGACGAGTTTCTCTGCAAGTCTGTGAGCCTGTTGTTGTTGTTATTGTTGTTGTGCACTGTCAAGTTGGAACTGAGCAGGAGCTGATCATCCAGTGGGTTTTTCAGAGGCAATTAATCACACAGGAGGAATCTGCCCATCTTTCTCCCACAGAGCAGCTGGTGGCCTCAAACCATGTGCCTTTAGGATTGCAGCACAACTTCTTGCCAGTAGGCCACCAGAGCTCCCTCTGTGAGCCTGTAGAATTGTCATTTTTCTCTGAAGGCACTGCAGGACAGTCCATATTGACACAGGGATCTAAAAGGTGTGTGTCAAGTCTTCTTCAGTGAGGTGCACTGTGCACAGAAAACCTGTGTGTGGATTTTAAGTCAAGACTCAACATGATGGTCTGGATTGTATGAGGAAGATCTCGAGCAGCTCACTTAACCACAACAGAAAGCTGGTGCTTGGGGTTTTATAGACCTTGCTAATGAATGAGTGCTGTGGCTCCCGGCTGCACCAGCTTCGCCCCGTGCTTTGCCAGCCCGCCTCCCACATACCTGTAAATTTGTCAGCCTGTAATGGATGGCTGTGCCAGCAAAGGCTGAGGTCTAGGCCTCCCTCTCTGGGATACACAGAGATCTCACACCATTAATAATTCATGCTGAAGTAATGAACAAAGCCATACCAAGTTGTGAGCAGTAATAATCAAGTGACAGGTCAATTTATTACTTTAGTGTGCCAAAAGATAATGGTAGTTAGTAATGAAGGGAGCAGTTCCCCCACCCCTCGAAGTTTCATAAGAGTTAGAGCTATGGATGTGTGTGGGGTTCCAAAATAAAGCAGATCATTAAAGGGGAAATGAATTATGTGAGGTCGTCTCAAGCCTATTTATATTCAGAGTTGCTTATCTAGAATTGCTATACCTTTCTTCCAAATGCCTTTCAGGCACTGGGGCCTCCAAATCAGAGTAATTACTGCTCATTAATTAAATCTAAGAGTTGAGAACACAGCTGTGGATATTAAAAGGGGAGGTTGAAATAGGTGAGACACAATCCCCCCAAAATCATCAATAATGATTTGAGGTTTTATGAGGAAGTAACTGAGCTGAGAATTGTTTTATGTCTGCATAGATAATCCTGTCATCTTTTAGCACGGGAAGGAATCTTTAACGTGCTGCCTCTGGCCCCAGCACGATGCTCAGCACTGTTGGTACCAAGAGAAATAACACAAACCCCGTCCTTAGGGAGTGGGAAAGACAAAAATCACACTGTAATATGTGTGAGAGCAGGATACCTGGCCTCCGTGAGCAGTGGGGGATGAGGAAAAGACAAGAAATGGCTGAAAACTGGAGATCATTTGAACTTAGCTTTTCAGATAATCTGTTCGCCAAGCGAAGAAAGAGGAGTAAGAATATGTTAGACAGAGGGTGAAAAAAGTGGAAAAAAGTAGTGAAATGTTAGCATGATAATTGCTACACTCCATGTACATTGACATGTTAAAGTCACACAGCAGCCTAACAAAGTAGGTAGATTATGCCCCCAGTCTTGTTTTATTATATGCAAGAAATCCAAAGTCTAGAAATACTGAGTCACTTGCCCAGAAACCCAGAGATAGCAGGGGACAGAAGAGGGACATGATGCTCAGAAAGATGGAGAATCAGCAAAGGAGAGGAAGACCCTCGACCAGGTAGATCAACTCGGTGACTGCCACAATGGGCTCTAGTGTGTTAGGAGGCGTGAGGATGGCAGAGGATAGGACAGGGTTCAGATCTCTTGTTCATTGCATCTCTATGGATTGTACTCAACCTGATGATGCCTAACAACAACGATATAGGATTGCTGTGACTTTGAAGTGACTTGATGGCCGTGGATTTGGTTCACTATGGTTTATACATGAATAGCTTGATGATTGATTTGCACAGAGGACTTTTTTAACAAAAAAGACTAAATATACTGACTTAGCCCATGTGGGAGGGGAATTCGAAAGGCATGGAATTCACTGTCCATACACTGGAGCTGACAGTAGTGATGTTAAAAGCAGCTTGTAAATATACAAACTTGATGATTGATGGAGACTTTGTCCCTAGGCTGGTAGAACATGACCATCTGCATTAGCATTTTCAGGCTGGAAATGTGATGTAATCCCATGTAGAATGGGGGGGGGGGGAACCCTAAATTAAATGAGGAGATTGAGGTAGAACTACAAAAGTATTGTTTAAAATAATCTTATGTGCCCAGAGACAGGCCAGGAGATTGATGGTAACTTTCTTTACGGCAGGTGTTTTTTTAGTTGTTGTTATGTGCCTCATAACTGACCCTCCGGTGGGTTTTCAGAGGCAGTAAATAGCATGTGAAGGGACTCCCAGTCTTTCTCCACAGCACAGCTGGTGGATTCCAAGCATGTGCCTTTGGGTCAGTTAGTGCAGCTCCTTCCTTAGACCACCAGAGTTCCTTGTTGATTAGTGTGTGTTGATTAATGGTGTTGTGTACCATCAGATAGGATCCTAATCATCGCTGACCCTCGAGAAGCTGTTTCAGTGGCTGTAAATCACATGGGAGGAGATTGCCCATCTTTCTCTAGCAGAGCAGCTGGTAAATTCAAACTCGTGCTTCAGGGTTGGCAGCACAACTCCTTACCACTGAGCCACCAGCGCTCCCTTGTTTTTTATTAGTCACAAACGTATTCTCTTCTCTACTTATCTATGCTACTGTGAAAATTTCAGAAATCTAACTATACCTCATCTCCTTTCAGAAGAGGAAGTTTTTAAAGAAATTTAGCTCAGAAAATCATAGAAATCTAGGGAGCTCTAGTAACCTAGTGGGTAAGATGTTGTGCTGCCAACTCAAAGGCAGACTGTTTGATTCTACCAGTTACTCTCTGGGAGAAAGATGGGAAGTCTTCTCCTGTGTAATTTACAACCTCTGAGAATACGCTGAAGGGACAGCCATGAATCAGTTCCAACTTGATGGCTATGAGTGAGAGTGCGAGCTGTTCAAATGATTGATGTAGTATTTCAGTAAAGTATTTCAACACTTAAGGCAGTAAATCTCTTTTCCTCTTACAAAATAGAGGTATGCAGGGAAACAGTGCAGGCTTTTATAGAACCATGTGGAAAAAATACCCAGTATAAATAGCTCTAAATGGTAGGGACGTCGGTCTGTGCAAACTGCCCTTCCCTGCCTGACTTCTCTGTAGCTGCAGGTTCGTAATGAATAGCTTCCTTCTTCTAACAATACTAAATGCCCTTAACTTACAACTCTTTTTTTGGTGGTTGTTGCCCATAGATAATTTGTATGTGTTTATATGCAGGGCTAGCAGATGAACAATGGATTTGTAGAGCTAGGTCACTGTGGCCCAGGCTTATGGTTCAGATACATGTTTTGACTAGTTGTTTCTCCAAAAATATCCATATGTACTTAGAAAATTACCCAGAGCCAGCTACTGCTGACGTTGGTGTTCCTGACTTTAAATGTAGGTGACAATCTAAACACAGCCTTCTACGTGGATATACATTGGTGTGTTTTTATTTCTGTTTATGCCATGTTTCCTTTAATGTGAACCACATACTTAATGTAATTGGGACTTTAAGACTTTGAGCCCAAAGTGCTGAATTATGACTTGTTTTTCAATATTCACATCTACCCATTTGAGAAATTAAGTCTATCTTGTACCTATGTTTGCAGATGTACTAAAGCTGTCAAGAACTTTTATATGTGCATGAGAGAAAACACTAATGATTACAGTGGTTGAAGCTGCAACCACGTACTGGCATAATAATTGCAGATTGGCAGTTGTACTTGGAAAATAGGGGTTCACATTTGCAAAGGTACAGAATTTGAAAGGCAGTTGCTTTGGCTCAAATGACTTGGTTTTGGCAAAATAAAAATTGCACAAGATGAAACAACAAAATTGCCTAAAATACTGAATCTTTTGGAAGCTTTGGTAGGTGACCATCTTGATAAGAAAATTCTGTTGACTTTAGGTAATCTTCAGGTGGTAAATCCTGGCTCCTTCCAAATGCGGATTCTGGAAGTAGGAAAAGATGGAAATCAGCTGTCTACTATTCCACTGTTTCCCTCATTGGTGCCCTTTCTTTTCCTTCCTCCTAGTGTTGCTAATAACCACAAGCAGAATTTGATGACTGTGGCAAACCTTGGAGTGGTGTTTGGACCCACACTGCTGAGACCTCAGGAAGAAACCGTAGCAGCTATCATGGACATCAAATTCCAGAACATAGTGATTGAGATCCTGATAGAAAACCATGAAAAGGTAATGCAGAATTATTTACTCTTAGGAAAGATTTTTTTTTAGGGGGGGGGGAAGTAATGCAATGGAAATTGGCATAAAGAGTTGACTGAGAATGTATTGCTGATGTCTGTTTGGACAATGAACAAGTGTTGTTAGAGGGATAATTGTGATGGCAGTCCTAATGTTGCTGGTGTCATTTATTAAGCATTTTTTGTATGTTGTTACTTTTTTTTGTCACAACAAGCCCACGATGGAACCTCACTTCTCCTTGGTGGTTTTATTAATGTATAAGAGCTTTTTTAATATTAGGACCACTAGGCTTTGCTTTCTCGCATCTTGAGGAGGGTCAATCAGGTGTGGAATATTTGCTTGTTTGGGCAATTGGGTGTCAGCTAATTGGATATATGCCAGATTCAGCTAACAATTATCTGTGGACTGGAAGTCTCTTTGTTTACAGTCAACCAGCACCTGGTGGGTGGCGCCTGTATTTAAAAGGCAGTAGGGCCCTTGGGCCTAAGGGTAACTGATTCTGTGGTCTGTATGACTGCTGTACTGAAGTAACTTGGGATTGCTGTGATGCTGAACACTATGCCGTAGGTGTGTCAAATGCCATAATGGTTAACCGTCACGGACAGTATTTGGTGGAGCTCCCCGATGAAAACAAGCTTGGAAGCAGGGGCGGCATCCACTTCTGAAATAGCTTGCCTCTGGAAACTCTATGAACATAGAGAAACAATGATAGTTATAGAACAGGGTTCAGGTCTATTGTTCATAGGGTCGCTGAGTCATACTTGATGCAATGGCACTTAACAACAGGCTTTGGTTATTTGTGTTGCAAATATTTTCCACAGTACTTCACAGTTTGCCTTTAATTTTATATATCTTATAATTGGTGTCATTTGACACACCAGTGGCATAACTTTCAGTAGCATAGCAACCCACAAGTTATCTCAGTCAGCAAACTCCCAGACAAGTGCTGTACCAATTAGAACAATCTTTTCCCCAAACATAACAAACTGTCAATTTTGTTTTAGTTTTTCCATAAACATTGTCCATGGTGAACAAGTTTCAGTGGAGATCTCAGATTAAGACACACTAGGAAGCAAGTTTGACCATCCACTTCTTAAAGAACAGGCCTCTAAAAACCCTTTGAACAGTAGAAGGATGCAGATAGTTATAGTAGTATTGATAGAGCCCAAACTGGAAGTCAGTCAAAATAAGGATAAATAACAACAAACATCATTTAATAATTGGGACATGGAATATATAGCTTAAATGTGGAAAACTAGAAATTTTGGAAAATGAAATGGAAGGCATGAACATCAGTACACTAGGTATTATTGAGATGAGATGGACTAATTTGGCCACTTTCAATCAGATAATCATATGGTTATACAAGTGTTCAGGTCTTTCGTTCATAGGGTTGCTATGAGTCACCTACGACTTGCTGGCACTTAACAGTAACAACAACAACAACAACATAGAGAGAGCTCAGTTAGCCTACAGAAAGTGAAGCTACCAAGCCAAAGATGGGTGATTTTAATCTGCGGACCTCAGGCCTAGTTTTAATTGTTTTTGGTCAAACATTCTTATAGGTAGTCTAAGCCCTGGTCTGTCCACTTGCTGTATAGAGGTAACTTGTGGTTGCTGTGATGCTAAACACTGTGATACTAATGTGTCAAATGCAATAATGGTTACCCATGGTGGACAGTGTTTGTTGGAGCTCCCCGATTAAAGCAAGCTTAGAAGCAAGAGCGGCATCCACTTCTGAAATAGCTTGCCTCCAAAAAACCTATGAACTTGGAGAAATGACAAAAGTTATACAAGTGTTCAGATCGTTCATAGAGTCATTATGAGTTGTCTACGACTAAACAAAAACAAATACTATGCTGGGAGTGAAAAACAAAAGAATGGTGCTGCTTTCTTAGTCAAAAGTCAATTTCAGATTCTATCCTGTAATATAATGTTGTGAGTGATGGGATATGATCCAGACATACAAGGAAGACGCATCAGTATGACTACTATTCAAATATACACTCCTACATGTAGAGCCAAAGAGGAAGAAATTGAAAATTTTTACCAAATCTTGCATTCTGAAATTGAACAAACACACAATCAAGATGCATTATTGATAATTGGTGATTGGGATGCAAAAGTTGGAAATAGTGAAGAAGGAATAGTAGTTGAAAAATACGGGCTTGGTGATAGAAATGATGCTGGAAATAAAATTAATCAATTTTTTTTTATTTTCAGTGGTTTGTTTATTCATTGCAAATGTCCTTTTAAAAAGATACAAATGAAGAAAAAAAAAGACACAAATGGTGACTTTACCCATGGATCTCACCTAATGGGCTGCATAGGAATTAGATTCACTACATCTGTGGAAGGAATCATTGGAGAAGTTCAGTATTGGCAGTTAAAACTAGGCTGGGGTGGGCTATGGGTCAGACCAGTAATTACTTATGTGAAAGTTCAAATAGAGGACAAAAAAGTTAAGTCCACAAGAAGAAGATACGATCTTGAATCTATTCCATCTGAATTTCAAGGTCATCTTGAAAACAGGTTTGAGCCAATGGAACACCAGTAATCAAAGACTAGATGACTTAATGGGATGATATACAAGGTACCATTCATGAGGAAAGAAAAAGGTCATTACAAAGACAGAGGAGAAAGAAAAAACCAGAATGGATATCAGAAGGAATTCTAAAAAATTCACTAGAGGATCAAGAACCCAAAACAAAGGGAAAACTTTTTGAGTTAAAGAGCTGAACAGACAATTTCAAAGGGCAGCTCAAGAAGACAAGGTATTATAATGGAATATGCAGAGAGCTAGAATTGGAGAATAAAAAGGAAGAACTAGCTCTGTATTTCTTCAGGTGAGAGAACTGAAAAACAAATTTAAACCTTGAGTTTCAATACTGAAAAATACTATAGGCAATATATTGAATGACCCAAAAAGCATCAAAAGAAGATGGAGGGAGCATACAGAGGTTACTGTACCAAAAAGAACTGTCTGAAACGGAAGAATTCCAGGAAGTACTATATGAGCAGGAACCGATAATAATCAAAGAGGATGTGGAAGCTGCATTAGAGGCGTTGGCAAAAATAAGACAGCACGAATTGTTTCATTTAACAGATGCATCCCTGGCTGCACTCACCAGTCTATGCCAGGAATTTTGGAGAACGGCTCTCTGCCCAATGGATTGGGAGAGGCCCATATTTTTTCTCATTCCCAAGAAAGGTGATCCAATAAAAGAATGTGGAAACTATCAAACAGTATCATTAATATCACAAGCAAGCAAAATAATGCCAAAGATCATTTAAAAATGACTGGAACAGTTCAAAGACAGTGAACTGTCAGAAGTTCAAGCAGGATTTAGAAGAGGCTGTGGCACCAGGGATCTCACTGCTGATATCAGATGGAACCTACCTGAAAGTAAAAAATACCTGAAGAATGACCATTTATGTTTTATTGACAATGCAAAAGCATTTTTATTAACTGTGTGAATCATAACAAATTATGGCTAGGATTGAGAAGAATGGGAATCCCAGAACATTTATTTGTGCTCGTGCAAAACCTATACCTACACCGGGAGGCTGTTGTGGGAACAGAGCAAGGGAACACTACATGTTTTTATTTCTTAATTAATTAACTAAAAAATTAAGAAAGAAGTGCATTGGGATTGTATTTTGTTTCCATCCATATTTAATCTGTATACTGAGCAAATTATTCCAGAAGCTACACTCTATGAAGAGGAATGTGGCATCAGGATCAGAGGGAGACTCATCAATAACCTGCACTATGCAGATGACCCAACCTTTTTTGCTGAGACTGAGGAAGATCTGAAGCACATGTTGCAGAAGATCAGAGAATACAGCCTTCAATATTTATTGCATCTCAATGTTGAGAAAACAAAGATTTTTTTTTTTTTTTACCACTTGGTCAATAGATGAAGAAAAGATTGAAATTTTCAAAAACTTCATCTTACTTGGATCCACAATTAACACTCTTAGTACCAGCAGGCAAGAAATTAGGAGGAGTAATGAACCAGGCTAATGCTAGATGGATCTTAGCTGAAAGCAGGGAATACCAGAGGAATGTATATCTGTGTTTCATTGACTATGCAAAGACGTTAGACTGTGTGGATCATAACAAACTGTGGCTGACTCTTGAGAAGAATGGGAATCCCAGAACACTTGATCGTGCTAATGCGAAA